CTGTGTCCTCAGCACCCCGAGGAGCTCCAGTGAAACCAGACTTGAGCTGAGAGCACCCGCGGAGCCGCCCTCTGAGTAAGCCCAGGTCCCTCCCCGCTGGGAAAGGGCACGATTGCCCAACTCTCCAGGAGCGCCTCCCTCACCCCCAGCCCTTAGTAAGCCTTGTGGACGCGAGGACGTCTGCGTGGCCAGGAAGCTGTGCCCCTGGGGTCTGGGAACTTTCAGATCACGGAGGCAGAAGTGCTGTGGGAGTCTGAAGGCCGTGGACTGAGGCCACCCACCAATGAATGTCCTTCTAGGGCCGTTCACAGGGGCAGCGTGGAGGGACAGACATAGAAAACCGTGTTCCCAGGAGGCACCTCACTCTGGGTCATCACTAGACCTTCTGACCTTATGGCCACCATAATCATTCAATCCCCATCCCCACCTCAACATCAAGGTGTTCTATAAAACAAAGCAACAGCCACTAAAACATACATAGGACACAAACATAGGTTAACATATATTATATATAGTGGGCTTCCTGAATCTGTGGACCTTTAATCTACAGGGAGGTGATGGTGGTGGTGGTGGTGGTGCGTGTGTGTTTGTGCGTGTGTGTGTGTGTGTGTGTGTGGTTTTCATTGGTATCTAGATCCCTTGGTTCATTAGGGTTTGCAAAGTGGCAATATTCTAATATTATCATTACTTATTTATTTATTAGTGTATTTCTATTAGGGGAAGTTAATCATTGAGCTATTCAGTGGCATTGTTTTGTATCTTTGTACATGAAGGGCAGAATAGGTACTTTCTTCCTTCATTTTTTACAGGTTTTCAAGTAAAGAAGTGGATTCAGGTGGTCTCCTAGCATTTTCCAATGGAGATTTTGTGTCACTATGAACTAATGGAATTGAACTGGACGAGCTCAGACCCATTGGACCCATTTTTGCTACTAATGATCAAACATTAGGAATTGGAATTCTCCCAATGGACAACAAAAGTCTCCCAAGTCTTTTTGCCCTATGTGATAGCTACACTACTATCTTGTGTGATAAAATGTTTCAGTTTACCTGTTTCCTATCCCAGACCAGCAAGCCATCAATTCTCCAAGACCTTTGTTTTTTCTTTCCCTGGGAAATATTTAAGGTCACAATATGGGTGCTAAGAATGCTTATTTCTACTGGATTATCAGGTTTTTAGGCCTTCTCAGTGGGCAAAGGCAAAAAATATCAAGCTAACATATTCTCAGGGAGTCAGAAATACCTCATGAGTTCATCCTGATACTTTAAAATTTATATCTGGGGTTATAATGCATTACTTAATATTTTCTATGTTTATCTATAACTTCTTTGCCATACAAAAAAATCTTTTCAAAACCACTGGTGTTGATGGAATTAGATTATTATATAATTACTTATTTGTTAAATTCCACATCTCACCCTAAACTTTCTTGGAACTAGCACCACCAATATTATTTCTGAGATGTTTAATTCAACAAATAAATACAAAGAAATTATTCACCTACAGTCATTATTTCAACATCTCTTCAGTTATTTTGGTTATGTGAAGTCATCTTTTTATAGATTCCTAAGGAAAGGCTCATATGAGCAGTATCTCCACAGTTCCTGAAAACTTATGTGAAATTTTTGGTGGCTGTTATATTTGAAGGCTAATTTGGTTGACTATGAAAGTATTGAGTGATTTTTGTCACATTTTCCTTATACTTTATTATTCTATTTTCCTCTACCCTAAAGTGTTGTTGTATAGAAGTTTGATGATAATTTTCTCTCTCTTTTTGGTAGTCACTTTTGGTTTATTTTCTCTTTTATTTCTTGAATATCTAAAAGATATTTCTGTTAAAGAAATATCTTTATTTAAAAACTAAAATATACTTCAGCAGTCATATTTTTAATAAGTCCTTTAATGTATGATGCATGTTCTTCAAAAACAAAGTTTCCGATATTTTTATGTCAAGAATTTCTTCTAGAAGTTTTTAGTACTTTATTTTTGTTTTAGTTTTCTTCCTGAGAGATTCTGATCGTATGTATTTTGACTTTTCTTAGCTTACCATTTATGCTGTATTACTTTCTCTTTAGTCTTATTTTAAATTTTTAGTTTTAGAATGTTCCCTCATTTTACTTACTTTCTCTTCCAAGCCATTATATGTTACATTTATCCAAGTTTAGCTTCTTACTTTGTATCTTTCTCCACCTTTGGGGAAACCAGGAAAATCATACCCACCCAAATTATACAGACAGCCTGAGAGAAAATGACCAACAGGGAAACCCATATATTGTACTTTAAAAAGCACAAACATATTTTGTTTAAAATTATGAGTACTCACCTTTATTTCTGATGCTATAAGGCCTACAGAAACACACTCAAGACAAAATACAAAGAGCTAAAAGGATTTTCAACAAGATAAATTGTGGTTTTTCTTTTCTGCTTTTCTCTTATCTGCCTTTTTTGTAGACCAAGAGCCAGGGATGAAGGAGGACTCTGGCTTCCAACAAGAAGGCTGTAGTGCAGAGGGCTGCAAAGGTCCCCCAGACCTTGGCCAGGCACAGGTAGGCAGCAGGTGAAGACACAAATCTGACCCTGAGGAAGCCCATGGTACCTGGCCTCAGGCTACTCCAGGTGGACAGGCACATGGGACCCAGGAGACTCAGTAGCCATTACTGACTAGCCACCAGAACCAGCTCCAAGACTCTTACTTGGGAGGAAACGAGGGGCGGGTGCAACTGAGGGAACCCCAAACACAAGCATTTCTCAAGGAAAACAGGACAAAACCAGCTGACCAGGTGAGCAGGACTTGGGTCTATTCATTTATTGATTCTTCTCTTTCCTCAGTAAACATCGAAAGAATCTAGTAAACTCCAGACATTCCTCAGGAACTGAGGACGTAGACATGAATACAAATTGGCTATTCCCTGGAAAAATTTACGATCCAGGAGAGATAAGATGTGCACATAAATAATTACAGGCTTTAAATAAAGGCAACCTCCAGAGCTGTACAAGCAGATGGTGTGTGAGCGGGGAGGAGGGGTGGGCACCCTGGCTTGGGTGGTGGGTGAGGGCTGAGGCTGCAGGCAGACTGCAGGGGGTGAGACCTCAGGCACAGAGGCAGACACGGGTGGGAAGACGGGGCTGACGGGGCTCAGTTTGTCTCTCCTGGCTGTCCGAATGGGTGCTCAGGGGACAGGAAGGCAAGGAGAGAGGAGACTGGACCCAGAGGAGGCTGTAAATGTCCAGCCATGGGGGCCTGGGGACGCTGGAGGGCGTTAGCAGGAAGGGACATGATCAACCCAACCTTGGAAAAGGGAGCAAGGTGGGGTTGGCAGAGGAGGGGCCACAGGTGATGAGGCCAAGTGGGAGGCGAGGACAGAGACCCAGTGGGAAGGAGAGCAGCCCCGGAGGGAGCGGGAGTTGCCCTCAGTGTTTGAAGTGAGGCCACGTCCTGATGATGCTGTACAAAGCCTGTCCAGGGGACAGAGTGTTGGCCACATCACTATGGCCCAGCAGCAGGTAGTTGGGGGCCAGGTACCCCTTGGCCACAGCACACTGGATCAGGTCCTGGGCCGCCTCCAACGCAGCGGCATTGGGTGGGTCGCCTGCAAAACACAGCTGCCCATCACTCGTAGGGATCCAGAGGGTCCAGTCCAGCCCGCCCAGCTCCCCACCACACTGGTATATCCCACCGTCAGCAGCTACACTGCGGACAGACAGAAAGCCAGCTCAACGTGTTTCAGTTCCAAAGTTTTTCTTGAAATCAAATGGAAAATAAATCCAATTCTTGTGAATACATACAAAGCCTTTTTCTACTGCTAAAGTTTAATGCAGCAGTTCTCTCCCCGGAGCAGTGTAGTGCCCAGAGGATCTCCGGTCTCCGACATGTAAGGCATCTTAGCCCCACACTGTTGCTATGGTGACCGAGACAGGACACACGTGCTAAGATACTGTAAAAATATCCACAGAGGTCTCCATGCGTTCATGTGCTTCACGTGCTTCTTAGATGTTGGGAAAGAAAGAGACACAGGCGCGTGGCTGTGTGGGAAGGAGGTGCACTGAGGTGAGCTTTCTGCCTGGGAGCCTGACACGCTGGACTTAGCTACACATCGAATTAGAGGCGTCAGCTTGTGCAGCACTGAGCGATGGCTGAGTCTTTGCTGCCCACATCCGACACCGGCCCCTCCAAACACCCCAGACGACCACCTCCCCGCAGCTCACCCGACTCACCCGAGAAGGTGCCCATGAAGACAATGCCCAAGGCGATGTCGTTGTAGCCAGGGATGGAGGAGCCTTGGACATCCCAGCCCACCCCTTCGTAGACACCACCGTCCTGGCCCACGAGGAAGCTAGAAGGCCACGGAGGAGATGGAGTTGCGCATGAGAGAGACACTCTGAGGTTCCTTTCCACCTTCACCCACTTGTGCCTTCACGCCCTACTGAAGTACAAATTGATCTGCGACACTATCCGTCAGAGTCTAAGTCACAGAGACAAGTCCGAGTCTGTACACTGATGTGCTAGAAAAGCGGCTGGGGATATGGGCAGGTGGGGTGGGAAACGGGAACAACTGATTTATAACATTTGCAGATTTCTGGGGAACAAAACTCCCACGGTGGCTGATTTTTGCCTGATCTAACAACCAGCTTGCGAAATCCCTGAATCTCTAACAACCCGTTCTTGTGATCTAGCTTTTGTCCACCTTTCTCCCACACATCACTTGCTTCCTGCAAGAGGCTCACCACGAATGAAGAAAGAAGAAGGCAGCTTTTGGCTCCTGCCTTTCCCTACCTCTCCAGTGAGACTGTTTTTCCCAAGGTGGTCCAGGTCTCCTTACCACTTTTCTTGGCTTATTCTCTCTGTGCATTGACCCTATACACCTCGCTTACCCTCCCCAGACATTATCTTCCCTTAGCACCCACCATGGCTCACCCTTCTGGCTTTCTTCCTCTCTGGGTGCTCCCTCTCTGCCCGCAGCTTCCTGTGCCCTTTCTTTTAAACGTGGAATTCCTCAGGATGCTGCCCGAGGCCTATTCTGTCCTCCTCAGTCTATTCCCTTGGGACAAACCCACCTACTTCTTGTTTCTTTACCACCCGTAAAAGCCCACAAGTTCACGACTGAGCCCACATCCTCCCCACCTGCTCTCTCTCTGGGATCGGGTCTTCCTGCTGCTCATCAGGGACCTCGGCCCACTCATTTCATCCAGGAACCAACCGAGCCTTGTTTGCAGCGTCTCTCACCGCTCCTCCCACCTGACCCGCACTGTACTCGTGAGCCTTTCCCCTCCCTGACTCCCAATGTCTTGGAGCTGCCACCACCCGGCCATGCCACCACTGTCGGCTCGTCTGGCTGGATACAATCCTCAGCTCTCACCGCTCTGGTTTTGCCCTTTTTCCGATCCATTTCTGAAGAAATACCCAGCACTGTTTTTCTAAAGTACAAATCTTTTCATGTCAAAATCCCACTCTTAGTCCTGGGCTACTCAGCCGAAATTCCTCCGTTGAGTCCTACACGGCATGGCCCCTGTCTGCCTCCCCAGCCCTGTCACAGTGAGCTTCTCCCAGCTCCTCAAAGGCGGCGTTCTCGGGCTGGCTTCCAGACCTTTGCACGAGACCTTTCCCTCTGCCGGGCGTGCCCCTCCGCCGTCCCACTCCCTCTTTGGGTCACAGCTAACGTGAGGCTCTCTCAGGGACCACATCCTCATGCTCATCTCCTCAGCCGCCTGAGCCTCCTGTTCTCCCCCGTGACCCTTCATCATGTTGCCTAATGCACCTTATGGGGACTTAATTCCCTTATTCCTCGCTGAAGTGAGGTATTAATTGAATGAGAGCAAGATGGCGTCTGTGCTGCAGCTGACGGCACGCCTGGAGCACACCTAGTGCTAGAACGTGTGAGAGGAGACGCGAGTGTCACCCTGACCTCAGACCCTGCAGGGAGAGAAAATGGCAGCCTGGAACTCTGCCGGACAGGGGCACGATCAAAGTCAGGACTCAGGGGACCTTTGCAGGAAGAGGGAACAGACCTGCTCTCGATCTCTATCCTTACCCCCAAATTTAAACAGGGAACAAACCAATTCAGTATCCCCAAATTTGTAGTCGAATTTCAGATGTCCGCTAAGATGAAGGAGAAGACCACACTGACACTGCCTCGCAAAGCATTTGGTAGCTCCTGGTAGATGGCAGGTGCTGGAGAAAGCCATTCTCCTATCCTGAAAGGGCTGTCGCTAACACAACAGAGGGGAGGGGTGCAGTCGGCTCAGACACAGATGCCAAGGAACAGAAAATCCTCACCTGCCCACACATGCGCAGGCCGCGTCGTAGCCAAGGTACCTGGCTGGGAACCACAGGGACTGAAATCCAGCTTCACTGCTTGAAGCAGGAGCACCCCCGGAGGCGGGCTCCCTCCTTAACATGTACAGTCCTGAGGCCTAGACTGTAGTGTGGATGGGACTCACAGTACCCGGGATGGAGTTGAACCCCAGGTGTATCTGAAATCTCTGAAAGCATCCTCAAGAAATTTGTACTTGTTCAGCTCACCATTTGGGTTTTTTCCATGTGTTGTTAGTGTTTTGTTTGTTTTTGTAGTATTGGGAACAGAGCCCAGGACCTTTACACCGAGTTATACCCCAACCCCTTTTTCATTTTGGTTTGAGACAGTGTCTCTCACTAACTCACTAAATTGCCCAGACTGGGCTTGAACTTGCAATATTCCTGCCTCAGCCTCCCAGACTGTTGGGATTACAGCCACGCACCACCACCCCCAGCTAAAATGACAAGATTTTTAAATTTTTTGATGCAAACGTCTTGACCAAAATCCTGCCACAGAAATTTGAAACCCACTTGGACTGCACTTAATGAGGAAAAAAGAAAGAAAATTGCCCTCTTCCATTAGGTGGATGTGGTCTTTATTGCAGAATCAGGGGCCTTAACACTGGGGGTATTAGCCAGTCCTTCTCTTTGCCTTCAAACAAGAAATATTCTCCTGAGGAGGGTCCCAGTCTTTAGGTACAGAGGTCGACCAGATAACACAAGGAGGAACGGGCTTCCAGCTGGGGCTGCCTCCTTGGTGTCTCTCCGGAGGCCTTGGCACCCTTTCCGCCTGTTTACCTGGGATCACTGCTTAGCTGCCTCCGACCGAGGTTCAGTTTCTGCCCCCACCAAGGGAAGAGGAGCCCCAGCCCCTGCCCGGATCCACTTACTTGTACCCAACATCGCACGCTTCGTACTTGTCCATGAAGAGGGCCTGAAGATCCGCGACCAGCAGGCGGCACTCTGCAGCTGCCCCGCAGGTTCTCCCACCCGTGTGGAGGATGATGGCGTACTTAGCCGGGAGCTGCATCCTAGGGCAGTGGCTGGGCCTAGCACCCCAGGCCCCCCGCCGTATGATGCTGGGGCAAGCTGCAGCGAGAACGAGACGGCCCGGGGGCGATTCGCTTTGTCCCGCGTCAGCCACCCACCACTGAAGGCTGCCATGGTCCTCATGTGACAGGGACCCCAGCGGCCTGACCCTACCGGAGTCCGGAGCAGAGAAATCTGTGCAGTGGGACCTGATGTCTTACCCTGAAAGAATGTTCTTGGGGTTTTTGGTTTTTGTTTTTTGGTACTGCGGATCGAACTCATGCCCTTGCGCTTGTGAAGCAGGCGACCGAACCACTGAGCTAAATCCTGGGCCCTTGATTTTATTGTTTTTGATGTTGCTTCTTGTGAACTAATAGTGTTCACCCAATTATGTAAACGCTGCTCAACTCTTCCTGTAAAGCCAGTGTAAGTGGTAACTAAAATTTTCCTCGGCGCTTAAGTCTGTTAGTGTGGTCCTAGTTTTTGTTTTCAGAAATGCGTGTTTGTGTGTACGCATTCATAAATATGTGTACAAATGTATCACAGCCCCTTCTAAGCCTTTTCTTCTTTCCTCACACTTTTTACCATAAAACACATCAAGTATTGTACTTGTTCGTGTAATTGCTGCCTTTCTCTGCCCTCTACAGTGAAACTCCACAAAGTCAGAGACTTTTGCACTTGTTTCCTTTGTGTGTCTCCCTGGTCTGGCTGGTACAGAACGTTGGGACAAGTGGGGCTACAACGTCAAGGCTCCTCCACTCTGGGATCTGAGTAGTAAAGAGGCAGCCCAGAGTGTCTCTGTCAACATGACCCAGCCCCCAAAGTTTCAGAAGGTCGGGTGCACAGTTGCCTACAGGAAAAATCTGATGAGAACCTGGGAAGTGGTCACTCCCAGTGGTTTCTTTTCTTTTTTGTGTTGTTGCTTATTGGTTTGTTTGTTTCGTTTTGTTTTGCTACCGGGGCTCAAACTCGGGACCTTGCACTTGCAAGGCAGGCAGCAGATCCACTGAGCTAAACCCCCAGCCCGCTCCGGACGGTTTCTGAGTCGGTGAGGAGGGAGCCCAGTGCGGGTGGAGGCCTCACCTTTCCTCAGGCCGGCCTTCTGTGGAGGGGCCAGGCAGTTTTCACCTCTCACAAGAAGTGGTTGGGTATAGCTGGGTGAGAGGCGGCCCTGTAGGACTGCGTAGGAGATGAGGCCCTTCATGGCTGTCAGGGCTGCAGGGCTGGGACTCTGGCCTGGAACACAGCAATTTGTGGCAAATGTCAGCCTGGCCTGGTTTTCAGGGGAGCCGTGTGGAGAAGAGACGCCTGGTCAGCCCCTGCCTAACTGCTGGAGGAAAAGCAGGCTCATTTTCATTGGTGACGAGAAAGTCAAGGATCATCGGAGGCAGATTCCTCAGTGGTTCAGAGGAAGCCCCTTCTCAATAACCTGCCAAGATGTCATCCACCCCCCATCCATGCACCTCGGAGAGCTCAGGGCAGCACCCATTGCTCAGGCCAGTGACTCCCATGAGCAGAGCCCTGCCAGGCACGAGCCAGGCTCTTCACCGGCAGTGACTCATTTGAACCTCGCTGCAGATCTCTGGGGTTGGTGCCACGAAGACACACTTGAAGCTCTCCAGAGTGACATGTTCAAAATCGCAAGCCAATGGGAAGAAAGGAGCTAAAGGTGTAGGGAAGGTGGGATGGGTAGGGGAAGGGTAATAAGGGAAAAGAAAAGAATGTGAGAGAATGAAAAGATGGAAATAAAGTGTTTGTAGATGGGGAGGGGAGGAGGGGGTGAAGGGAGGGCAGGGGTAAGGGGAAAAAATGAGAACCAAGACTTGTCATGTAGAGGTACAAGATCCCAACAATGAAAGTAACTGTACTGTATCCCTAAAATGTACCAATAAACTCAATTAAAGCTGAAAAAAAATCGCAAGCCACAAGTGGCAACAAATAGCTATAAATAACTACATAAAGAGGTCAAACACAGAGTCCTCTCGCATGGACAATAAAGACACACGCTTTCATTCCTCTCCTCGTGGCTCTGCCACTTTGGGTTACACACTTCTCAGAGCCTGCAGGCTGCACTGTGGTACAGAAATCATAAAACCTGCCGGAACGATCTCAAAAGATACTGGTAAAGAAAATGATAAACTGCGTCACATGATATTTGGAGAATGCACATTTAGGATGCAGGTGATGGGGGTTGGAGCAATAAATAAACTAGAAGAAAGTGGGAGGAAGTCAGAGACCAGAGGCCTCAAAGTGGTTTTGTAAAAGTGTAAAAGAAATACAAGGTATGGTGGTGCACACCTGTCATCCCAGCACTCGGGAGGCTGAGGCAGGAGGATCACTGTGAGTTCAAGACCAGCCTGGGCTACATAGTGAGTTCCAGGACAGTCTCAACTACACAGTGAGACCCTGTCTCAAAAAATAAACAAACAAACAAACAAACAAAAATTGTATAGGAAGGGCTGGGGATTTAGCTCAGTGGCACCACGCCTGTCTCGCAAGCACAAAGTCCTGAGTTCGATCCCCAGTACCATAAACAAAAAAATTTTTTTTAATTTATAATAAATCTGAAAGTAAGAGATGGAAAGGCGAGGTGCCTGGCAGAACAGTGGAAGCACAGCTTGCGGCTGCACAAAAATCAGTGCTGGGGGGGGTGTGATGGTCACTGCTGCACAGGGTAGAAGGAAGCCAGGGAGGACCACAAGGACACTAGGGAGGCCAGGGGAGAAGAGCATGGCAAGAGCGGGATCCTCAGAGATGCAGGAAAGGGCAGCAGGGTGGAAACGAAGCGGTAGAGACCTCTCTGGAGGAGCGTCGTTGGCCAGGTGATCGTTACCTTCCTTGGTGCCAAAGAAGGCGAAGCCCAGGGAGACGTTGTTGTAGCCCTGGGTGTGCAGGCCGTGGACGTCCCAGCCGACGCCTTCATACACCCTGCCGTCGTCCCCGACCAGGAAGCTGTGCGGCGAGGGAAGGCAGATGTAGTGACTGGCTTGATACCAGATGCCTGAGAGAGGAAACCCCTCGCCTGGGCTCAGAAAAGAGGTCCCCGGCTGTGTAAAAGGGATCTGCACGGCTGCGTCCCAGACAGCGGAGAGACCAAGTCACCTATCTGGGTCCTTAACATCCAAGAGGACCTACTCCCACTTTGTCTCCCTCCCCGCTGAGACAGAGTCGAATATGACGCACCCTGGGTACTTGGGAGGAGCAGGTGCTGAAACCTGCAGTTACTACCAAGGTCCGACTCCCCTGACTACGCTTCCTTCAACATGGTTCTCCTCCCCTCTCCAAGGTGCATGCTGCCCATGAAATCCCCACAGAGTTGAATGTCTCTCCGCAGGGCCGCTGGTGCTCAGAAACCTTGAACCTAAGAAAAAGACGTGGATGCAGCAGTGCATTTGGGAAATGGTTCCAGAAGTCAGAGCGAGGGAGCACAGAGAAGGAGAGAGGAAGGAGAGAGCCAATAAAGTGTGACCAGCTGGGCTGGTTTTCATGGTGGCGTCAGGGCCACTGCCCACACCCTCCGTGTCCTTCCGAGGAACTGTGTGCATGCACTTCGGAACTGTCCATTAGAAGGGCTAGGGCTGAGGAAATTACCCATCAACCCCCAACACCCAGGGGCTCATTAACTCCCCTTCCCATCAACCACCTGGGGGAGGCTTGAAGCCGGAAATCATGGATGCTACGGCACTTGAAGGCAGGAAGCCATCATGATGTTCAGGAACTATCCACAGTGTATGCCAAAGTCAGAGGTGAATCTCCTGGGCGGATCATTATAGCAAGTGGTAGAAAGTTTTCTCCACCAAAGGAGGAGCCCGTATGTGTGGTAAGATGGACCATACCATGAGCACAGAGTTCAGGCTCTGTGACTCCATAATTCTGTGATCCTGAGGAAATCAAACAACCACCCTACCTTGGGGAGGTGGAAATACTTGTCCTACCAAGCCAGAGCTGCTGGGTAGTGAAGGCATGCAGATACAAGTAAGTCATCTACAACCTGTGATGTGCTGGTGGAGCCAGGCATGGATGAGCAGAAAATACACTTACTATTTGACTTTCTTTGCTTCCTTTGGGAGATCTCAGAGACAGAAAATTCCAAAGAATTTTGGATTTCATGAGGGTCTTCAGTATTCTATTTACTATAAAACCTACAAACCCACCACCCAGAAGGTGAAGAAGGCAGAAGAGAAGGAATAGGGGAGCAGCTCTGATCCCGGCCCGGGGGACCCCGGCCCAGCCTCTTACTTGTAGGCCACGTCACACCCGCTGTAGTTGTGGACCTGATAGGACTGCAGCTCCCGCAGCCTCTGACTGCAGGCAGCCTGGTCATGGCACTCCAGTCCAGGGACGTGGTGTGTGACGAGAACGTCCACCGGCATGGTCAGTGGAGACCTGCAGCCAGCAGCTCCTGCCCCCCACTCCTTCCGAGAAACCATCGTGAAGATGTCTGTGCGGGGACCGTGGATGTCACTTGGTGCCTTCTGACATGGGCTGCAGTTGCTGGTGGGGTACATCTGCCCTGCAGTGGTAAAGGAGCCCTAGGAAGAGGCCCTCAGGCAGCGCAGCAGGTACGCTCTTCCCTGCTCACCCCACATCAGGGAGTCTGTGTATTAACCCAGTCCCATGAGGGGCATCTACACACACGATTAGCAAAGCACAACCCAGAAATGTACTCGGGAACCTCAAAAGCATGAAGCCCGCTCTGGTGTGAATTTGACCCACAGTGGAAACAAGGAGGAGGAGAGAGTGGAGACGCAGGTAGAATTACCTGCAGTCGGGCCAGGCCCTGTTTATCTGGGGGCATCTGCTAAACCCATGCTCCCGGGCAGCGGGCCATGGATGTGGGCACAGGCATCAGTCAGCACCCCACCTCCAGCAAACAATGCTCTTACCTACGAGAAGCCGTCTCTTACTGGCAAGCACAGGCCCACGTCTGGTTAGACTCTGGCTGGCGCGCTGAGAATCACTGCCATTTATCTGCTCTTGTTGGCCAACCACCGAGTCCTCCACATACATAATCTCATTTAACCCCCACGCTAAGCTTGGGAAGTCCGTTACCATATCTCCATTTGCCGGTAGGAAAATTAAGATTTAAAGAGCTGAATAACTTATTCAAAACCATTGCTAGATGCAGGACAGGGATTTCAGCCCAGGGCTAGACTCCAAGATCCGGGCTGTACATATAGAGGGAGGGGTAAGCATTTAAACAATTCCTATTGCACGATGGCAGGAGGCCCTTCTTAGTCCAGAGAGAGCAAACTTACCCAAGGCTTGGACACTCAGAGCAGAGAAGACAAGAAGCCAAGGCAGCATCCTCGCAGGGTCCTGGGACACCAATGGGGACAGTGTAGTCAGCAGCCCTGGGAGGGCAGTGTCCCAGGCGGATGCTCGCTGTTAACGTAACGGTGCTTACTCTGACTGTGAGGCCCCAGAGGACTGCGGTCCTCCTCGTCCGCCACACTGTGGGGCCCGGGGAGCCAGGGCCTCACTCAGCCTTCTCAGGGAGCTGTGTACAGAGCGGGTACAACACACCCTCCTGTCTCAGTTTCACCGGGCGTTCACTGGGAGGGACTGCATCTGTACATTAAGGTGGGCCCAGTTTAACCCTCACCTTAATTCTGGCACAGACTGTTAGCTCCCATTCCTATAAGACACAGGAATGGCCCCAAACAGAAATCCAAACTCCCTGAAATCCTGGGATGCGTCTCCTGCAGAGAATTCCCTCCCAGTGGGCGGTAGGACCAAGATAGGACCAGGAGAGGGCTGTGAAGAAGAGACACAATCACACTCACACTCACACTCACGCTCACACTCACACTCACACTCACGTGCTGAGGCACCTGTGGACCCTGAGCTGTCCTGGACAAGGGCACCAGGAGGGGAGGGGAGGGGTCCGCTTTGCCCCTCTCTGAGGGAGGGGTCTCCCCCTCATCCTGGCTTTTTCCCAGCAGCCTCTGGGACTGGAGGGGACTGGTGGGGCATCAGCATCCCTCTCCTTCGTGGTGGAGCTGGGCTAAAGAGGATCCCAGTTCTAGGGCAGAGGATATCTGATTTTAGAGCTCATCTGCTAGAGTCCAGCCCCTTCTAGGAGAGGGACACACCAGAGAACAAACGCGCACGCTCACACTCAGAAATACCTGTGGGCCCTGTGCTGTCCCAGCCCAGTTGGTCAGGGCTCAGTCCACCTGCCCCTCACTGGCGGGCAGCTCCTCCCGTCAGACTTGGCTTCCAGGTCCTGCCCGCCCCCGCTTTGCTGTCCCTAAGAGGCACTCCCCCCTTGCGAAGGGAGCACTCTGGCTGCCCAGAGAGAGGGGAACAAAGCCCTGGATCCAGAGCGGAAGGTGGAGCACAGAGACCTGAGGCTGGGAGCTGTGTCCTCAGCACCCCGAGGAGCTCCAGTGAAACCAGACTTGAGCTGAGAGCACCCGCGGAGCCGCCCTCTGAGTAAGCCCAGGTCCCTCCCCGCTGGGAAAGGGCACGATTGCCCAACTCTCCAGGAGCGCCTCCCTCACCCCCAGCCCTTAGTAAGCCTTGTGGACGCGAGGACGTCTGCGTGGCCAGGAAGCTGTGCCCCTGGGGTCTGGGAACTTTCAGATCACGGAGGCAGAAGTGCTGTGGGAGTCTGAAGGCCATGGACTGAGGCCACCCACCAATGACTGTCCTTCTAGGGCCGTTCACAGGGGCAGCGTGGAGGGACAGACATAGAAAAACCAATGACTCCTTCTAGGGCCGTTCACAGGGGCAGCGTGGAGGGACAGACATAGAAAACCGTGTTCCCAGGAGGCAGCCCTCAGGCTACACATCCATCATCATCCCTCCGGCCACACCCGTGCCTCGTCCAGGCTGAGCACCTCCAGCCCTCTCCCACCCCTCGCTCAGTGGTATCAGAGCACGCCCTGGCCCTGGTCAGACTTCATGAACCAGGCAGTTCTTGCCTCCCAAGGCGCTGAGTCTCACAGAGGAAGCTCCTCTTGATGCTTTCCCAGAATGCACATCTGCCAAGGCCCCTCAGACCCCTCATCTCTCAGAGGGTGGGGCAGCCTCGGAGACCCTGGAAATGTCCCATATCCAGAGATTGGTTGTCAGACTCACTCTCAGGCCCAGGGTTCCCAGAAAAGCTCCCTGAAAGAGGCCCTTGAGAGAGCACAGGGGTCTCCCACTGCTCCCCAGTCAGGAGCCCAGGCCAAGCTGGAGCCTAGGACAGAGCAGGGACTGCTGACCTCTGCCTGGGCACGCGTGCTGGGGAGCAGATCTGGAGACAGAGATGGAGGAGATGAAGAACTGGAGCCCAGGGCCAGGTCCATAGGAATCTGAAGGCTCTGATCCCTGGGAGATGCTGTTTCTCCAGGCCTCAGCCATCGGACTTCCCAACCAGGGCAGCCCTTTGGTAAGAAGCGCTGCGGGCCTGCACCCAGTGGCATCCAGACAGGTGCAGACATTCAGTTTCCTTCCACAGGAGGGAGCTGGAGATTGAAGGACAAAAGACACTCGGTGTGGCTACTTATGAGGACCAGCGAGCGCTCTGTCCTGTGTAGATATCAACACATTTCTGGGGACCCACAGACCTGAGAGAAATGTCTGTCCTAAGCAATGGGCAGGAGAGAGATGGTTTGGTTTGTTCCTCTCTGGTCTGTGAGCCTAAAGCTAAAGTCCTTAGAGAATTTCTGAAGACCTGAATGACCCGGCCCCCGTCACCCAGACCCTCCTGAGTCTCACCACTATACCAGGGTGAGCTCTCTATCCCCTCCTGCCACAGTGGGACCCTTCCCTTCCGATGTGTTCCTGCCTCAGGCCTCACCTAGGCCTCACCTAGGCCTCACCTAGGCCTGAGGCAGGAGCTCTGCTTCAGCCTGTCTTTCCCAAGATGCCTCTGTGACCAGAGGGGACCAGAGGGGCGTCAGAGCCGCTCCTCCACGGCAGTCATCTTAAATTGAAAATCTCAAGCCTGGTTCTCGAAAAAAGAAGCGCTTGTATGATTGATTTGTGAGCTAATCCAACCATTCTTCCCACAGAAGAACATTTTTACTCGAAAGAATAGAAAACGGTCAAACTATGGATACTCAGGCTTAAGTAATATGCCTGGTATTTTTTTTTTAATGAACAAAGTAAGCTTTGATTTCAAGGCAAATAACCAATGGGATTTATTAGCTTAATAAAACTGGAGTTTTCAAGCAAAATTTAGAATTTGGACATTTATGTCTGCTTTACTATTGGACAGCTTCCAAATACAATTTCCGGAGTGATCTTATCAGCAAGTGATCAGCAGTGATATTGAAAAGTGACATATACATATGCACACACATATATAAATATAGACATAAACATATGTTCACGTGAACATGTACACACATTGGATAATAACATGGGTCATCATTTAGCTCAGTGGTGCCGCCGCCTGCCTCACAAGCACAAGGTCCTGAGTTCGATCCCCGGTATACACACACACACACACACACAAAAAAAAAAAATTTGGTCATCATTTAGAAGATGTTCATGAGTCAGTGAACCAATACTTTCCAAATGACTATTAAGTCACAAAATCATACTTAGATAAAAGGTTCATTCAAATTTCAAGACAGCCCAATTGATTTTTAAAAAATCATTCATATAATTTCAGATTCTACATTGCAAAAAACCTTTAACACGGTTGTTGAGTTTTGGCACAGGATCAAAGAAGAATATTTTCAATTATTTGTAAAAGCTGGTAATATATCTCTCCCCCTTCCAAGTACTTATCTGGGAGAGACTATGTTTAACCAAAACCACATCTAGCAACAAACTGAATGCAGAAGTAGATAGGAAAATACCGTCATGTTCTTCTAAGTCATATAGAAAACATATCTGCAAAAATGTGTTTAAAAAATAATAATACTGGGAGGCTGAAACAGGAGGATTGCATGTTCAAGCCCAACCTGGGCCACTTAGAAACTTGAGACCCTGTCTCAAAATAAAAATTTTAAAATGCCCTGGGATATAGCTAAGGGTGAAGGCCTTGGTTTTGATCCCCAATACCACAAAAAAGACATTCTCACTAGCTTTGTGATATTTATATAGGGCCTATTGATGTGTGTTGGGTTCATCGACACTACTTTAAATGAATTAGTAAATATTTTAAATTATTTCAAATTCTAATATGGTAAATATCGAGAGATCTAACTCACAGAAGCTTTCTGTGATACTCAAAATTTTTCCAAGTACGAGAGTCCCAGGCCAGGGGACCGCCGCAGGCTGTCCTGACGCAGGCAGGTCACCAGGGGGCAGCATGCGCTCTTCCGTGACCCCGGAGCCGCCTCCACCCCCACCCCCACCCCCCGCCCCGGGAGTCTCCACCTCCGCATTTCCCCAGCCTTTCTCTCCTCCTTTCTTCTCTGTGCTTTCCCGCAGGCACAGCTTCTGAATTAATTCCAGGGAATCATCTTTGAAGAATGGGTTCCTGCCATCCGAAGCAGGCATTCGCCTTATTCTGCGGATCTTAATCCGATGTCGCACAGGCAGAGCGTCCACCCAGGGCGAGGAAGGGGAGGCGCCGCGTGCGTGCGTGGGTGCGTGTACCCCGGCTGGGAAACAAGAAAGGCGGGAAGACTTGCGAGGACAGCAGCCGGGAAGGAGAGGGGACGCCAGCTCCCCCAGCTTGAAATTTCCCAGCAATTCAGAAGATTCTGAGCGGAGGCAGCCGAGGTGGTCCGGGATGGTGCTCACACTTGGGTCAGGAGGTCCAGGTCCAGAAAGCTCCCAGCAAGGAGGAAGGGCGAGGTGGAGCAAGAGGTTGTGTGAGGCCTGAGCCCCAGGCAGCTGCTTTAAGAGGGGGGGCGCAGTAGAGAAACCAGGAGTCACATGGGGCCCTGGAACCCACCAAGATTGTCCACATTCCCGGGTCAGTGCTGGGAATGACTTAAGGCCGGCTGGGCCAACTCTCTCATCTAGTGGATGAGGAAACCGGGGCCCGAACACGGAAAAGACTGCTAAAGGTCTTCAGCAAGCCTGTAAAGGTCAGGATTAGAACCCGGCTCTCAGGCCCAGGCCACCGTGTGCTTCCAACCAAGGCCTCACAGGCCCAGTGGTGCAGAGTAGGGCAAGCCCATGTGTGGTGCCCAGTACAGCAGAAGGGTGCAGGGCCCGGGAGGGCCACGCAGCAGGGCCACAGGAAGGGAAAGACACAGGCCGCTCTGCTCCTTGGCCTGGGGAAGGAGCTGATGATTTAGTGGCACCTTTGGGGTCCTCTGCCCACAACTTGAGCCGCTGCTGAAGCCACTCCCCTTCCTCCCGGTGACCACAACCAGAGTCACTGTCCAGAGCCAGAAAAACAGCCCAGTCCATAGCCTCGCAGCAGGCTCTGAGTGGCCCTGGGGAATCACGCCCTGAAAAGACCCAGCTCCCCCTCCCCTTGGCGCTACCCCTGACAGTGAGGACACCTAGTGGCCTCCCAGGAACAGCTGCTCACCTGGGCCTGGCTCACCTGGGATGGAGGCCACTGTGACTTTCTGAGTGAAGGCCCCCGTGGGAAAATTCCTGTCTGCTTTGAGCCCTGTTTTAGGGCGGCTCCCGCCAGTGGCTGGGCCTCGTCTCCCCCCTCCTCCCGTTTTCCTTTCACCTTGAACCAACACTGATCCTAGTCGGGGACTCTGAATTCACAAGGCCAAGGCCAACAGACCAGTTTATTACACACACCCATTTCCGCACTCCCTCATTCATCAGCTGTCCGTCCGATATCCGCTGGGTGAGGCCCTCTGCTCAGGTCCAGAAGGCAGGGAGGGAGGGAGACCGTGACCCCGCCTGGAGGAAGCACAGCTGCAGAGCAGGGTCCCCACCACCACCTGCCAACTGGCTTGACACACACCCCGCCTCATCTTGAATGCCTTTGCTTTTGTTTAAAATTGATGGGAGTTTCATATTTAAAAAATCCAGATTCCCTGGCCGTGGGAGATCCAGCAACATGTGGGCCTTGCCCAGCCCTGGCTGGAGGCAGAGTCCCAGGTCCCTTGAGTCGGGGCGTCTCCAGTCACCATGGCTCCCCCCTCACCAGGCCCCCCAACCCAGACACCCTACATCAGTTGCATGAGTAGCCCTGACACCGGATGGGGTCCAAAGAGGCCCCTCCAGGAGGAACTGGGGACTGGACCCACGCCACCCAGGGTGGGGTTTGCGTGAGCCAAGGGTTATAGGTCAACGGGAGGCAGACAGATCTGAGCGAGAAAGAAGCACTCACCAGAAGGGGGCGCGTGTGCTCCTAGAGTAAGGCTCCCCATGGCCTGGCTGGGGGACTCCTGTTTTGGGGGTGTCCTCAAATAATCATCTCATACGTGTGTTCCTGGTGTCTCTTGGGTTGCCCTGATGGTCTGGGTTAGGGTGCAAATGACGCAACTTTGAAGTTCTGAGACAGGATACCCACTTAGTGCTGTGGCCTTGAGGACACAAGTCTGTGGGAGGCAAAGCACAGGCTCAATTTACAGGTGCGAGACGCGGCCCCCACTTACAGGCTTGCTGTGTTCTAAGCCCTTTAAGGGTTTTTTGGAGTGATGTTCCTGGGAGAGAAAAGGCCGTTGCAACCTTGAGTAATCTTGCTTCTGTACTGAAGCTGCACTTTTCTTAAAAGTGCAGTTTTAAACCGGGCGTGGTGGTGCACGGCTGTAATCCCAGCATTCAGGAGGCTGAAACAGGAGGATCGCTGTGAGTTCAAGACCAGCCTGGGTTCCAGGTCAGCCTCAATTACATAGTGAGACCCTGTCTCAAAAAACCAAAAAAGAAAAAGAAAAGTGCAATTTTAAAATTATGACTTTCCCTGTCTCCTTCCTAGCTTCATTTCTTCTGTCCTGCTCAGCTGACCAGGCGCTCTTGATGTTCTCAGGCCTGGGTGCACAGGGAAGAGCATCCGCTCAGGCGAAAGTTCTTCATCGCCGACAGCAGGGGGCGCTATGGGAACACACAGGAAAGGCGTCCGTGGAGCAGCCCGTATGGTCCTTAAAACTGGAGGTTGCAGGCTGGCATGAGGAGGGTGAGCACACAGCTTCTGGGCTGGCTGTCATCTGTGCTTCCTCCTCTGCTAAAACAATTGGGGAGCAGCCTCTCTTAGAGGGGATAAACCCGAGGTTTCCATTGGAGCGTCCTCGACTGTGTCCACACTGCTCAACCATTTACTTAGCAAGCACTTATTGAATACTTGCCGCATGCTCAGAGCTGTGCCAGGCCCTGTCCCTGGCTGCCAAGAGTTAAAATGTGTTTAACAAGACAGAGTATATAAGATTATGTGTCCCCTGTGAGTTCTGACGCGCTCACCAAATTCCCCCAGCACTGCGCATTGCTGCTTGGTACAGTTGGTGCCCAACAAATACTTTGTGCACAAATGAATGAAAAAGTAGGGGCCGGGGATTTAACTCAGTGGTTCCACCGCCTGCCTCACAAGTGCAAGGGCCCGATTTCAATCCCAGGTATCCGCCAAAAAAACAAACAAACCTGAAGTGAAAAGGTAACCAATAATCATGCCTCTCTCTCACTGAGCTCTCCCTAACTTACACACACTGTCACAGCAGTCCAGGTCAGTCCTGTCGGTGTCCTGTGTCACAGTCGGCTAAGGACAGCATGAAGTTGCCGCCACTATTGCATGCGGCGTCTCGGCGGTGCTCAGGGCCGGGCCTACAGCATACACCGGGCTTGCACAGGGCAGGGTGGGAGCGGGGCAGTGGGAAAGGGCTGTGAAGCGTCTTCCCTGAGGAGGGAGAGGGACTGGAGTGACCGGCAGGAAAAGGAGAACGCCCAGAGTAGGCCCTCCGTGCACACTTCCCGGGTATGGAAATGAGGTGGTTCTCAGCATAGGCAGCGGAGACGACCGTGAATAAAAACCTGTCTCCGGGATGGACAGACAGCCAGTTGTTAGACAGAGGGAAAATATGCAAATCACTTTGTGCCAGGAAAGCAGAGGTGACAGGTGATGAGTCAGAGTGAGGTGGCGGGGATTGTCTTGGAGGAAGAGACTGACTCCCAAGGGCCAGCTTTCCGGGTGGGGCAGCATTTGAACTCAGTGGTGAGGGGTGGGCAGGACTCGACCTGTAAAATTGCCCTTAATGGAGAACCAGGAGATCAGAATCCCGGTCAGCTCTGTAATCTCACCCGGGTCCCTCTCTGGGCATCAGGACTCTGTCTGCACCGCCAAGACCCAGGAGTGCACAGGGGAAGCAATGGGTCCTCAGCCAGCCTCTGGCTCTCTGGGTGGGGACAGGGCCTGAGGGGAGCAGAGCGCAGCGGGCTCTGTGGCTCGCTCAGGAAGAGGGCTGGGTTCTGGTGGGGAGGGGAAGCGAATTAACCAACCGGCTTCCTCTCAAACCAGCTCAGGCCCTGGCCCCGGGAATTTCACAAAACAGGGGAAAAGAGCTGCACTGTGTGAACACTTCCTGTCCTGCGCTGGCCCCTCCCTGGCAGGGTTGCCACACGGCTCGGGGGTGAGGCAATCTTCTGCAGAGAGGGCCACCTGTGCCTGCCAAGCGCGGCCTATAAACGCTGAGCAGCGCGGCTCTGTGCAGTGCACTGTGTCTGCTGGGTGCTGGTAAGTGAGCTGCTCACTGCTCACTGCTCCGGTGAGCTGCTGGCCAGCTTTTCTGCTCCAACTCTCCCCCTCCTCCTCCTCCTCCTCCTCCTCCTCCTGGAAGCCCTCCTTGTCTGATCCTGCCCCTCTCCCAGCTTCCTTCACATTTTCTTAGAGCTTGCTTTGCCTTTTTCCATGGTCTAGGCCACCACAATGCATGTCTCACACGTGCGTCACGAGTCCTCTCCCTGATTAAGTGGCAGCCTATGCTTCCCCTTTAATTTTACGTATCCCCTCCTCTTCCTTTGCTGTAGCCAGAGGACCTGTCAGGGAAGCGCAGTGGCCTTTTCCTCCCAGCACCTCCACCCCTGCTTCTCTGTTGTTCACAGGTGTGAGAAGATGGCCGGTGAAATGTCAGTGTTTGAACGCAGCTTAAATAGCATTGTCGAGGCCTTCCACCAATACTCCAGGCGGGAAGACAACAATGACACCTTGAACAAGAAGGAATTCAAACTGCTGATGCAAAAGGAGCTGCCCAGCTACCTCAAGGTAGGGCTTGACTGAGGCGAGGCGGGGCGCTGGAGAGTTCCGGTCCCTGCCATCCAGAGGCAGCTGGAGGGGTCGCTGGGGGTGCTCACAGTTAGACGCCCCAACAGAGGCCAGAGGTGGTTCCACTGAACACCTGCTGTGCGTGGAGCACAGGGAGGGGGGTGAATAGGGAACCTACGAGCCCAAAGTGGGAGACACACAGGAAAGGACACAGTAGATGCAATGCCAATGATCGACCTGGGGGGAGGAGGAGATTCCTGGGTGAGTGGGGCCCACCTAAGGGTGTCGGGCAGAAACAGAGGAATAACGGGCATGTAGGCAGCAGCCAGCACAGCCTGGTGTGTACAAAGGACCTGGGAAAACATCGGCATTGTCCCCACCTGAAAATGACTGGGCAGTCGTAGGACTCGGGGCGATCCCTTCCAACAGCCTTTGCGTTTTCTTTTCAAGCTCGGGGAAACAGAGGCCTAGACTAAGAAGGATGGGAGGCGTGGGTCTCCGGGTTGGTTCCGTTCCTGGGTGCGGCTGCTCTGGGGCAGGTCCCTCCCCCTTTCCCTCACACTGCCAAGATGGAGGTGGGGCCCCGCGGAGGTGTGAGGGACACTGGCAGCCCCCATAGGTGGTGGTCGCGGTCACAGGCACGCAGGGCACCAGGTTGGGATGGACAGAGCCAGGAGGCTGTGTGGCCAAGGTTGCCTCTGTGGATTCCCAGCCTCCTCCACCCCTCTCTGCCATCCTCTGCCGGACTTGGGCTCCAGAACAGGGCATGGCTGAGGTGACCCGGCCAATGGGCAGCAGAGTTGAAGCCAGCTGGTGCTCTCTGTCCAAAAATCCTAAATATTTTGGGGGCACCAAGCACCTGCTCTGCTCTCTGCCCTCAGCCAAGATCCCTCACTGTCCTGTTTTCCCAAGTGCTTCCCTTCAGTGTCCGTGAGAATGAACTTTGCCCATCGTCCTCCAGGGGACAGGGGTGGGAGCGACTGAGAAGAGAGGAGGGAATGCACAGCACTGGGCTTCCTAGCCTCGGCCGCTTGCAAAAGCTATCGGTCCTAAGACGTGGTCTCCTTGAGCCTTCCTCGAGGAAGATGCCGCTTCTCCTTGTTGAAAGGTATTCTGTGGACCAGCTATAGGGACGCTTTCAGACTTGCTGACCGTAGGGCCTTCTCTCTCTGTAAAATAAGGAACCTCATACTCCCTGAGTTGTAGGGCTGTCTGGGGAATAAGCTGGCCAATGTTTAGCACAGACTTCTGCTCCATCCTGGGCACTCCGCTCGTGGTCATTTTTAATTTTTAAATCGAGTCCCGGGGCCCAGTCTTCCCTGTGCACTTGCTATCCAGACACACAATGTGCTCCCTCGACCCCGTCCCTGGCCACACTCAGCCCTAACCACCGTCTCTTCTCTGCCAGCAGAAAGTTGATAGAAATGAAGATGGAAAAGATGTCGTAAAAGACATCATGGAAGACCTGGACACAAACCTGGACAATGAGCTGAGCTTCGAGGAGGCCATCATGCTCTTTTCCAGGGTGATCAATGCCTCCCACGAGACGATGCACCAGGGGCACCACCGTGGCCATGACCACAGCCACGGGCCGGGCCTCGGACAGGGCAGCCAGGCCCGTTAGTCAGGAGGCCAGGCCACCCCACGCCTCCCCAGCCTGGTTCAAGGGAGGTGTGAGCCGCACCACCTGGGCTGTGGGGCTGGGGATGGGGGGAAATAAAGCTTTCCTGTACACCAGTGCTCTCTCTGCATGCTTCGTCCATTGTCTTCCCAGGTGGTCTTCCAGTCCCGCAGTCCTGCCCCTGTCTGTACCTCAAACCCTGCATGTGGTCCTGGCAGAATGAAAGCCCACTTCCCTGACCACGTCCTCCTCTCTGACATCAGACGCCAGTCGTACTGTACAGCCTTTCAGCATGGCCTTTGACACTGAAGAAAGCCCCAGCCCATTTTCACTGTCCATAGACCCGTCTCTCTCCTAATAGAACACTATTCCTCTGAAGGCCTCCCAGCCATGGACCCAGGCAGTGTTACATCCAGGGAGGAACTCTGGAGTCAGGCAGTGGGAACTGGGTGAACTGGGTATGACTACCTACAAACTCATTTCTGGACCCAAGAGAGCAGTCGAGCCTCTTGTAATCAACTTAGCACCTTACATGTGGATGCTGGTAGGGAACAGGGGTGCCCTCACTGGTGGAAGCAGGACTTAGCCCCATGCCCATCCCAACCCAGGAGGGTACGGGGGAGTGAAAGGAGCCCAGAAAAACTGAGCCCCGATCCAGCTTCTGCAGTTAGAAGGTTCTGTAAAGAGCATGAGGAGCTTAGAGCTCAGGCCCAGTGATCCTTTGGCCCCTGAAGATGCAGATCAAGGGCCAGCGCATCTTCCTGGGGTCAAGGAGATCCCTGCAGTCCGTGGTCGGTAGCTGTGGGCTCAGGCCATGGGTGCATCTGCTCCTGTCTGCAAAACCTGTGGCCAGATGGGCCTGGCTCCATCTCCCTTGGAGCTGCTGTCACTGCACCCACAGCTCACCTCAGACACTGCCAAGTGGCTCCTCTTTCATCTCCCTTCCCTCAACCACAGAGACCCCTGAGGGGACAATGGGCCACTGCACACACACATCCTTTCAACAGAAAAAGCTCACAGAGTTAGGACTTCCGGGAGCTGGAGAAAATCACAGTCATATGAAGACACAGAGAGAGGCACAGGCAGAGAAGAGACCAGTCCAAGGCTGCACAGTGGTAGCAGTGAGAAAGGGGGCTGACGCCATCTGCTCTGCTGCTGGGTCTCGCAGCTCCGTCCCAGGCACTGAACCTGAAGAAGCACCAACCAGGGTCAGGTTGGGGCTCCCCTTGCTGTGGGCCCCACCCGGGCTACAGCAAGGCTCTGCTCTGAAAACTGCAGGTTTTACTCACCGGTGAAGATAAAATTGGCCCAGGAACTGCGCCAGAGTGACAGGGCCTAGAATCCTTCACTTGAAGGTGTGACCCCTGGCAGCCTTCATCTGAGACTCTTCTCCCGGATCCTCACATCCTGGGAGCCGTCACCATCCTCCCCCGGACACAGCCCAGGGCAGGAAAAGAAAAGCAGCTGGGGACGTGGGAGGCCCGAATTCTAGTACTGGCCCAGCCAGGACTCTGATGCCCAGGGCTCTGCAGGACAGTGCTTCCCCGGCCCATCTACTGCCACCACCTTATCCCAGGTGCAACGAATGTGTTTGAAACTCTGCCCCTACCCCCAGTAGACTGTGAAAACACGAGGACAAAGACCATGTCTGTCTCATCCTAGGCTCTCTTCTGAGCGCCTGCAGTGAGGCTGCTGCACGGTAGGCTCTCAAGAGATGTTGACTCATAAGCATTCTAAACTTTCATGCCCGTGCCCTCTTCTTAGGAGAAGACAAGTGGGAAAGGGGGGAGAGGAGAGAGGGACTGAAGCCCACGGGAGACTTCCACACCACCAAAGATTCTCTGCCCTGAAGGCAGGGGGCAACACCTGTATGCCAGTCTGAGGGCCCCGCCCCACTGTGTATATTCAGACCAGTTCTGCTTTTATGTCCTCTGCCCTGAAGTTCGGATTTGAAGAAAGAGATTTGTTGTGAAAGAAAGTTTGAAAATTATTGGTGTTAGCCCAACCTGATCCACTTCCTGCCAAAGTTAAGTCGGCTCACCCAAATCCCCCAGGAAAGGGGCTTCCCCTCCTGCTGCTGACCCTCAGAGCACCCCTCATTACCCTCACATCAGCCGTTCTCCTTGTGCCTGCCAAGTGCGAGTCCCAGTTTCCCTCCTCCCTTTCGGGGCCCCGGATAAATCTTCCCCCTTCCCCCTAGCCATACGTCTCCTCAATTGCTTTTTCCAAAATCCTCTCTCCAGATTACATCAGGCCCCTCCCCACTCTCCACTTTCACACCAGAAATGCTTTTGTGCATCTGCTAAGTCCCTTAGGATCCCAAGTGTCAACCAGGGAACCTGCCCAGGAAGACTTCCCGCCAGTCTGCCCCTCTCAGAATCCCTCAGTCCGCTCCACCAGGCCCGCGGAACTCCTGGGACTGCTACCCTGGCCCTTCACAGGCTCACTTGTAACCCTCACCTGCAAGCCTGACTGTGGTTCCTCAAAGGTGAGATCATGGTTGACTTGACCCACAGTCCCGAATCCCACCCAGCACACAGCAAGCTGTCGGTGAAGATTCCACAGGACCAAAGGAAGGCACCACGGGCCTAGAGCCCCAGGGAGCCAGAGGTAGGGGTTTGAGAGGTGGGTCCTTCAGAGGGAGGACAAAGAGCCCATGTGGTGAGACCGGGCAGCTCTGAGGAGAGGGGACACCCACTCTCTGGCAACACAGAAGTTGGCAGAAGGCAGACAGGCTGTGCCTTCTAGGTGCCAACCATGCCTCCTTTTGCCTCCTCTCTGTGCAAACTAAGTATAAGTGTGGGAGATGGTTCTAGAACCCAATGGCAGGTCAAATAACCAGCCATTTTTGCAGGGCCCCAGGGTTTTTTTTAAAACATAGTTTAATAGAGCTGTCGAGCTGACCTAATCCCTCCACTCATATTAGCCCCTCCAGTTCAAATAAGCAACAACTTCTGGGTTTTGTTGTTGTTGTTGTTGTTGAGAAAAGGAGAAATGGCGTCTTCTTCCCTCGGGGAGAGAGCAAGAGTGACAATATCAGGGTGAACTTTACCAGTCTGCGTGAGAACCGGTGGCTACTCCTGAGATTGATGAGTGCTTCTGGGAAAAACAAACCTTGGGAGTTCCCCGGCATCCGAGTAAATGCAACCCCAGAGGCAGCCTTCTGTCACAGGATGATTGCCTCCTAGTTTTCACAGGAGGGAATTACCCTCCCGTCAGCAGTCAGTCATGAAAGCTGAACTTCCTGGTGTCCTTCTGGGAAGGGTGAAGAGAGACTCAGGGTTCGCGGAGCTGCTGGACTCTGCCCAAACATGTAACCGTGCTCTGAATGAGCTAGCCCGCCTGGTGATGTGAGACGGCTCTCGACTTTAGGGAGCAGTGGAGCTACTTGTCCATTACCTTGCTTGCCTGCTCATTCCCCCAGCAGACGGTAACTGGACACTTTCTGCATGTGAGGTACCACCTAGGGCTGCCCAGGGCTGCCATGAAAAGTAAGGCTCGGTCCTCTTATCAGGAGCTGGCAAGGCTGCGGTGGAGGCGGGGATGAGATCCTCAATTTCCTGTAAACTAGAATAAAGGAAGGCCAGGGAGGCGAGCAGGTAGACGGGACTTTGAAGTGGGCTGTCTCCCTGAAGAGAAGAGGAAGGGGGCCATGGAGGCTGGTGGCAGCAGACGTCGGCCAAGTGTGCAAAGGCCCAGGGGTGGCCTGTGTGGGAGTGAACAGGAATGACACTGAGGGGAATCAGGAGGACAGACGAGAGTTCCAGAGATGCTAAGCCAAGGAGCTTGCCTTTCAGTGAGTGGAGGTAAAGGCAAAAGCAGGAAAGGCTTCAGGGAGGAAAATGACACAAGGGAATTTTTACTTTATATGCCCCCCCAACATGCTTAAGGTCTGGACTGTGTAGGAGTCAGACCATAGACGTGCAGTCTGTTAGAAGCTACCATAATAGTCCTGGTGAGAGCTGCTCAGAGCCTGCAGTGAGGCTCCTCAGAAAATGCAAATTTAGCCTTCATCTCATAACATCCCAGGCTCCATCTCAGTTAAGCAAAGCACAACCTGAAAACTCCGTAAGACAAACAGATACTGTAATTGTGTGCTGTTTGTCAAGACCTTGCTGGGAAGGAAGGCCTCTGCTTTCGCCAGCCCCTTGAGGCAATCTTACACAATGCCGACACCAGGTCTTGCTCTGAAGTAAACTCAAGAATCCAACCTCAGACCCCTGACCCCTCCCCGGAGTTGCTTCAAATTCGCTAATTTAGAAAGACCTGTTTGGTGGATTTTGACATTTTACCAAGATGACAATAGGACTGAAACAGCCAGTTGCCCAAGTCCTGTTGCCTCTTGGGGTTCAGACCTGAACCAGTTTCTCTACCTAAGACAGGCCAGCTCCCTGGCCACCCCGGACCCCCCCCCTTGTCTCCCGAGATCCCCTCCTGGAAGCAGAGGCGAGGAGAGTGGGCGCCAGTGGGGTCGCTGTTCTAGGTGCTGGACCCCAAAGCGTGCAAAGCTCTGCCAGGGAGAAGCAGACAGCACAGGATGCCAGGAATGGGTCATGCGAGTCGTCTCAGACGGTGACAGGGTCCAGGGAGAAAATCCAGGAGGAGGCTATGACTGAATGCTGCTACGCAGGGCACAGGCCGGGCCGCCCTTGCTACGGAGGGAACAAGGGACGAGGCCTGAGTGACAAGCGTCAGTCTCCACAGACTGTCCCAGAGGACTCGGAGAGTTTACTGGGACAGGTGATCATTCTGGCTGCTGCGAGAAGGGGCGATGTGGGGCCCACAGTGGAGCAGGTGGAGGGGCTGGCGAGGAGGAGGCTGCGGGGAGGCAGTGAGCCTGACCTCGTGCCAGACATTGTGCTGGGTCCCCGCCCTCAGGGAGGCCGCGGTCTTAGATGGCAGACGCCAGAAGCATTGCCAGCACCAGGCGCGGGCAGAAGATAAGGAAAGGAGGGTAGGTAGCGCCACGCGTCCTGAACACGGGAGAGGCGCTTCTTGTCTGTCTTTTGGCTGGGGCAGGAGAAGGCGAGGAAGAGTTTCCTCCGATGGTGCCCAACTTGACCCCTAGAACTTCGAGTCGCACCTCCGCCGTCCAGCACTGTGTCAGGCAG